ATGTATAAATGGATTAATTAACTTTCCTTTTGAAATGTGTAAATCAAGGCATAATAAGATTTTTTTAAATGATTCAATAAAAGTTAGAAGATTTTAATTTTTTTGGGGTAATTATTATTATTTTAAAATTGATTAGTTAACTTTACTTTATAAATGCATTAGTTAACTTTACTTTTGAAATGTATAAATCAAGGCATAATAATTTTTTTTTTAATTTTAAAACTGATTAGTTAATTTTCTTTTTCAAATTTCTAAATTTAAATTTATAAATGAATTAATTAAATTTCCTTTTGAAATGTATAAATCAAGGCATAATAAGATTTGTTTTTTAATAATTCAATAAATGTTAGCCAATAGAAGATTTTTTAATTATCTAAAAAATATGAATTTTAAAAAAATAATATGAGGGATTTGAGTTTCGCAAGGCTTTTCTCATTAGAAACCCCATTTTTTTTAATATATAGTGTAGATGTATTTATAATAATTTATAGAGAAAAAATTTAGAAATTTAACAAAATTTAATATCCTAAAATAAAAAATGAATAAATATTTTGAGATGGACTTAAATAAAAAGGTGGACAAACAAAATAGGACCGTGGGGTATTTTTTCTAAGTTTAAATTTCATGTGGGGTGTGGGGTATTTTTTTTTTCTTTTTCCTTTATATTTTTGAGATATAAGTATTTTAGTTAGTTTTTTTAATTCCTTAAAAAAAGATATTTAGTGACATTTTTGACTAAAATAGCTTATTACTAGAACACCCCTTAGATTAGAGTATATTTTTAATGAGTGACAAAAAGAATCCTTTCAATAAAAAAATAAAACTTGTATTTGCTACGTGGCTAAGGTGAATTTCTTAAATAAAAATGCTAGAGGACCTAAAAATTCTACCAAAAGTTTTACTAAATGTCTCACATGGATGTGAGACCCACATAGGACCCACATTGTGTGAGTCTCACACCCATGTGAGACATTTGATAAAACTTTTGATAAAATATTTGAGATCACTAGCATTACTCATTCTTGAATGTGCATCATGGGCTTCAACATTAATGAGCCCAACGAGCCCTCGTTTGGTATAAGAATTTTTGGGGTTAAAAGGTTGTTTTAGCCACAAAAAAGATAAAATAAATTAAAAAAACAATAAGACAAAATACTGTATCCAAACCATAATCATTTTATTTTTTCTCTCATAAAAATTTAAAAAGCCAAAAAAATCCGTCTCAAACGAAACTTTTTAGCCTAAGGCTAAAAAGCCCAAAAGTCAATTCACACCCCTAACGGAACCTGAGTTATTGATGTTTTACCTTTGAAGTATGGAGATGGATACGAATACGGATATGGATACAAGACATGACGATTTTAAAAAAATGGGGATGCGGACATAGCCGGGAACAAGAAAATTATTTTTAATTTTAAATATATATAAGTATTTGGAAAGTAAAAATCAAAATTAATAAAACTAATATTAATTTAATGTATATATAAAAGTCACTACATTTTAAAAATAAATAGGAAAAGTAAAAAGAAACTAATTTAAACAGATATATAATATACTTATTATAAATAGTAGACAATAGTATTTTCCATATTTATCATATATTTATTATAGATAGACAAAAGATAGAAACGAGATAGAGAGATAGGCGACGAGAAAGAGAGAGAGAGAGAGAGAGAGACGACGACGACGACGACGATGACAACGACAGAGAAGATGAAGCAAGAGAGAGAGAGATGATGACGACGATAGAAGACGAGAGAGAGACGATACGCAAAACAAAATGAGAGAGGGAGAGAGAAAGAGAGAGATGAAAGGCAATAGAGACTTACCAGACTGCAGATAGAGCTCGATGGAGATATCGATTGAATGCCTTTCTCGAACAGGTTCTCCGTTTCCCTTTTCTCTCTCTTTCTCTCTCTCTCTCTCTCTCTTTTTTTTTTTTCCCCTTGATTTTGGATTAGGTCTCTTCTCCTTTTTTGAATTAAGAATTTGATTTAGGACTTTCCGCGTCTTGCTATATCTCATACTAGAAGGGGGAAAAAACGAGACACGCCAAATTGTGTGTCTTGTACATGTCGGTAGCATGTTCTCAGCGTGTCCCCGTATTCGATACTGCTATGGCACCAGTTCTGTCGTGTTCGTGCTTCATAGTGTTTTACATATAGAGTTTTTCATACTTGAAATTTATCTTGTCTCAAATTTATATCTTATTTAGTAAAAAATTATTTGTGCACTTATGTTAGGCTTGGTAGACTAAAATAAAAATAGAAAGGAGTAGAATGCTCAATTCTTAACTTCCTTTGAAAATACTCATTCACCCGCAATAATAAATAATGATTATATGTATAATAGATTTTTGATATTTTTTTAAAAAAAATAAAGATTGAGAATTTTAATTTTAGAGAGAACTCTAGCGATGTGACAAGGTGTAAGATTCACAAGTGATAAAATGTGTATAATTATTTTTTTTTTTTCTCTTATCACATCATTAAAATTCTCTTTAGAATTTTAAAATTAAAATTTTCTTATCATTATTTTTTAATAAACGAATACTATATTAATTTTAGAAGTATTTTAAGAAAATAATTAAAAATTACTTTTTAATTTTTTTATAAAAAAAGAAAGTGAATAACTTTTAACTCCCTTTCTAAAATAGTCCAGCGTGAGACACCACCACGGTCTGGCAGACAATTGTCGGCGCAAAGCACAAGACGAGTCGTTATGCCCTGTCCCGGTGAAACCTTCCCCAAAACACAATACAAAACAAAAGAAAGCAAACTGGGCTGCGACTAAAAGCTTCCCCCCACACAAGGGGAAAAAGACTATGATCTATGAGGAGAGAGCCTTATGTTGACTAATCACTAACCAATTCTTCCCATACTCTCACCATCTGTGTAGGTGGATCCCAAACCCCAACACCAACACTTGGGGCAGTTGTTATCTGTCATTGCTATTACTAGAAACTTTTTTAATTTTTTTTCCTTCCTTTTTTCATTTTTGTTGGACGGCTCCATTTATTTTCAAAGATAAAATAAAAGAAATTAATAATGAGAAGATTGAAAATAAAGCGATTAAATTAAATTGTATTTATTTTGATGATAGTTATTAGTGTAAAGATTGTTAAATTATTTTTATATAAAATAATAAAACAAATAAAAAATACAAAATATTAAACATTAATATTTATAAAAAAAATACCCAACATGTAAAAAATTAAAAAATAAAAAATTTTCAGAAAAAAATAAAACAAATAAAACAATGATTTTTACTTAACAAAAAATACAAAAAATTAAACATTAATGTTCAAAAAAAAAAAAATACTCAACATGTAAAAAATAAAAAAATTTCTAGTCCTTGAGACTATTTTTCTAATATCATCTCCACTTTCTCCATCTCAATTTCTCTTCCAAGACTTATCCTAATACCAAGGATTAGGAGTTCCCTCCCTATCTCTCAAACAAACACCCCATATAATGGGTCTCACCTCACTATCAATCTCAATTCCCTTCCTATAACCCCAAACAAAGGGTGCTGGTGATCGTTCTTTCAGTACATACGGTTCTAGAAACGTCATCATAATTCATAATCAGTAGTCTATGAACTGCTAGGCCATTGTGAGCTTTTAGTTAAGCTCTTAACCATTTTGAGTTCATAAATATTTGATGGTGTGATTCTTTCTTGATAATTGATCACTAAACAGAGATGGTCTTCATTTTCTGCTAGAAAAAAAAGAGGACTTAGATTCGGAGATGAGACACATGGTGACAATAATCAGTCTTAATATTTATTTTTATTATCAATAGTCATTGGCATTGGTAGATAGATTTATGTTTCGAATCTACAAGTTGGAATTGTCATTTCCAGTAATTATTGTGAGTTACAAAGGAATTTTGGCCTACTTTATTTATGTGGGTATGGAAGAACACGTCTATCACCAAAATTTATCTCCTAGACAGTCATTGAATTATTTGAGATTCTCAAACAAGAAAATCTTGGAGTATGATCATCGATTGTGAGTATTTTGAGACGAGAAAAAAGAGAGATTTGGAAAGAAACTTGACTAAAAAAAATTTATAATTCAACAAGTGATTGCTTTCAAGTTTGAAACTGAATCACTTAAATAGAAATAAATAGAATAACTAAATAAATTGTCACCTTAAACTGAATCACTTAAATAGAAAAAAGAAAATAGACACCACCAAAAAAAAAAAATTAAAATAAATAGATAGATAACTTCTCTGTTTTTCTCTCTAGATGGTAATTTTTTGAGACAACAAATTCAAGAAGATAAACATGGGTAATGGCTACAATATTCTCAAATGGCTCCATTTAGTACATGAATAATATCTACATTTGTATTGCAGGAGACAACTATAAAGTCCTAAAAGGTTAGCTTAGCATTATTTATGCAACAATGATAAAATTTGATCATGATTATCTGGAATTTTTATATTGAAGATTGAACCAAGACCAGAAAATCAGGTGCCTGTTGTTGTGGAAAAGGTCGCCAGGTGACCTAATGTTGAAGACAGTTCAATTCACTTGATTTTTCCTTTGACATTGTTACTGATAAACAATAAATAATTTATTCCACGGAGCGACTATCAAGCGATTTGGTTTCTTTAGAGGTCATAAATTGACTAAATTTTGCCAATTAATAATTTAATATTTTTTTCTATACCCAGAATTTTCTAGGTCGAACTGATAAGATCAATCCTACCCCAGTTAAAATTGGAAAGCCTTACACACCACCAAATTATCGGAGAAGCTGTGCTACAAAGAAAAAAATGTGTGACTCAGATTCACACGTGGCTCAAATATACACAATTTAAATGTGGACCATTTACTTCGTTTCCTGTGAATTTTTCTTTTGCACATACCGCACACAATTTAAATTTGGACTATATATGCTCTATTTTCTGTGAATTTTCTTCATTTTCAAGCAGTCACTTGCAAGTATGATTGATTAATTTTTCTGGAAATCCATTGAGATATTGAGATATTCACAAAGTTATAAGAGTATATTTCATTTATGACAGTAAGTTTTGAAGTGGGGTGATGTTGTTTAACTTGATCGGGGTATTGTATAATCACTAAGCCAAAACCTCTTCATGTTTACAGGAAGCCGCAACAGAATACTTAAATCCGGAATAAAGGACAAGAAAATACAAAAAATCAAAATTTATGTTTTGCTTTTGTGTGTTATATGATTCTCTCTGTCATATTTATGAATGCAACGCACCAAACTGTGTCCTTTCCAAATTATCAAATGATGGAGTAATCGAAAAACCATGCCCAGGAGATGACGATGACCCAGGATAACAAGCTCTCCGGAGCTCATTGAACCTTACAATATCAAAACTGTTCATCTTCATAAGCTGCTTTTGCTTTGTGCTAAACCGGCTCTGGAAGAAACCTTCGAAAGAAGGCTCCTTGGATGTCCTGAGGAAGAAAGCATAGCCAGCCATGAAGTACATGGACGTTACGTAGAAGCAAATGGGCTCCATGACATCCCAAGACAGTTCCCAGAAGGTGAGCCTCATGAATGCAGCTGTCTGAATGACAAGGTATCCCAGCCCACACCAGAGTTCCCGGCGAACCAGAGACTCTGCCTTTCTGTCAATGCCGGCCTTTTGGTTTTCCATTTCTTCAAGTTCCTTCCACCTCTGATCGTCCTGCTTGGGTACTGGTACGGGCATCAGGTCCTGGATGATTTTCACTACCTGTAATCAACAAAATAGTGGAAAAATGTTTGGGTAAAGCATGCTTCCACTCCACACATTTTTACATGAAGATTGGATTTTTATGTATTGTATTTGGTGCGATGTATGATTTGCTTGTTATTGAAAGTTATAGTCAACAAAAATCCTGGATATGAGCCCATGATGAGCAAGACTCTAAACCATTTACAGCTAAGAAGGGAACACTGCCAAGATCAACCCCACCCTAGTTGAAACCCGAAGGCCCTCTTCACAGCCATAACAATGATGCAAATTGCAATAGGCCATTTTTAAAAATATTATTTATATGTAGGAAAAAAAAATTGGTAAGAGGGTAACAGGGGAAGGGAAGTAGTTCTAACAAAAAGACTCGAATCAGACATCACACTTGATATAACCAAAAAAAAATCACCTTATCCACCAGACGAACAATTATAGATCATTTATAGTTAGACATTACCATTTGCTTACAGGTTCTTTCGTGCCAATTTGTATCTATGCTCAAGAAATATTTTCTCCAAATTCTTCACTAGGGTGCAGCCTAACTTCTTCTCATAGATGTTTAAAATAAAAATAAAAAACTAGTTTATGAAAATTCAAATTTAATCTTGTCCAAAACAATCATCTTTTCCCCAAATTAAGATAAAAATGCAGTCCAACTGGTGGTGAGAAAACCTAGTAGGCAATGGGATTGCCACCACTGTAAATGGACAAATATGAACAGAGATATTAGAACAGGGAGGGGGAGGGGGCTAAAATCACATTCCACTATGATGTGAGGGCCTACATGTATGGGGGCTATACTGTCATTGGAATTATAGATTGAGCATTTAAACTTCTTCCTTCAAATATATATTTTTTTAAAATTGTTGGTGGGGCAAATGGGATAGTGAGGGAGTTAGCTTACTTAGCTCGGTGGCCTAATGTTTCACAAAAAAAAAAAATTATTAAAAATTCTTATTGTCCAAAGTCCCAATTGTGCAAAAACTAGAAAGATAAGCTCAAATTTTGATTTTTTAGATAAAAAGTCTCAAAAAATCATGGGCTGCTAGCCTGCTACCATCTGTAACTTCCTATTGTAATTTCAAAATTAACCAAATTTGTTATGCAAATGCAGGAGGTGAAATCACGTTAGCAGTTACATAAGCAAATAATCAACATGAAACAATCTCTAGGGGAAGTGATATGGAAGGGGCTAATTTGGAGCTTTGGTATATAATCTATATTTTCATTTTCTTTCTTTCTCTCCAGTTTGTTCCTCTCCCTTTCTAATTTTGCAAAAGTCATGGAATCAAGGGCTCTCTTTTCTTTTTCTTTCTTTTTTTTTTTTTGGTTAAAGAAAATTCACGATCTTTTTCTTTTACGTTTTGAAAGAAAAATCAGGGTATCATAAATTCATATAATGTTGTAAAACTGCAAATTTTAATTATGTATTGGTTTGGATGAGTTTGAGAAGAGGGTGTTTTTGGAGCCTAAAGTCACCATCTCAAACGTGGAACCCTTTACACGTTTTAGATCTGGCGCAACATTTGTTTCAATTTCCTGTGGAAAAAACAATTAAACATGATAAAAACTATCAGTTTTCGGTAGTCCGTAAAGTAAAATGACCGAAAATCAAAAAAATCAATAAAAATTTGAAATCAAACCATGTGATGCTAATATGAATATGCATATTCGATTGGTAAAAAACTGACGAAGAAAAGACGAAAAAAATTCCAACCTGGTCAGGTCTGAGGAACACAACGTTTCCTAAGACGATAACGGTCCCAGACTCGTCGAGCATCTTCGCAAACTGCAGCCCCTGCTCTGCATTCGAGCAGCCTCCAGAGCAGATCTCAACGAACTCATCGAATGATATATGGTCCTTCGTGATCTGCCTGAGGTTCGATTTCACCATTTCAAGCTGCGACACCCTCAGCAGCTTCCTCGCATCCCCCACCGTCAACTTCCGCTCCGCCGACGTCTCCGACGCCGTCGACGGTGGCGGGGGGCTCAGTCCGTCCAATCGAATCCGCTCCCTGGAAATGTCCATGCCACGCAACTTCTCCAGAAGCTTCTCTCCGGCAGGAAGTGACCGGAGCGCCGGCGATGGAGATGGTGCCGCCAACTGGTATATCGGCCGCCACTGAAGGAACCGCCGGAAAACACCTTCATCTCCGGGATCGGGAGCCACTCTAGCCGGATTCGGAGGTATCGAAGCTTGCACGGCGGACGATGAAATGCGGCAGTTCGCAAGAATTGTATTCGATTTTTTCGATATGTTGAACAATCGCTGAGCTAAGGTTCTTTGAAACGCCATTGATGAAAATTTTAAGAAACTAACAAACTAGAGAGAAAAAAATGAGGCGGTGCTAAGGTGGTGATGATTTGGAAGCTTGTACGCTTGTATCTCTTTGCCCGATGGAAAAGGGCTTTGTTGATGGTTGGGTATTTATACGTCGTTGGAGGAGAGAGAAAAATTAATAATTAAAAATTCTAAAATTATTTAAGAACATTGCTATTTAAAATTAAAAAATATATATAATTTTTAAGTTGAGTGATGTAATAATCAATTAGGATATTAAATATAATATTCTCTCATATTTTATTAATTATTAATTAAGTATATCATTTACCTATCATTAGATTTAAAAAATAAATTTATATATTTTTTATTATTGAATTAATTAAGAGAAAATAAACCGATTTTATAGAATGAGAAACAAGTCCTGATAAAAAATGGTTAGAGATTTCAATTTTTTGTGGGTTAGGGTGTGCGAATATTCGCTTTAGAGCTTCAGCATAATAGTATTATTTCAATGGAGCATCTCCTCTCACGAGTAATTAAAATTCAATTTTTCAAAAATTAATCTCCTCCTCCTCCCCCATCACAGTTCACGAGTGGAAAAGATCACGGGAGTATCTTAATCAACATACACGTGGTTGGTAAGGCAGCGAAGAGACAATCATCCACTGTTCGATCGGTTGATTATTCAATATTAAAATTAACTATTAGAATTGATCTGACGGATGGTCAACTAGTTGAGTGATAGACAAATAACTGATATTTAGGCCTCGTTTGGAACCTGTTAATTTAGTAATTTTTTAGTTATTTGGTTAAAATATGAGCTTAAAAAATACTAAGGGTTGGTTTGAGAAGTGGGTTGACTTTTTAGATTTTTTAACTATTTTAGCCTGGGTTAAAAAGCTTGGTTTAGGAAGGATTTTTGACTTTTTTGATTTTTTTTGTAAGAGAAGAGTGTAATGATTATGGATTGGATGTGATGTTTTGTTTGTTGTGGCTAAAATAGCCTATTTTATCTTTTGTGACTATTTTGGCCACAAACCATCTTGCCAAACGAACCCTAATATATTTGGGATGATTTTTTGACTTTTTACAAAAAGATGTATAAAAAGTTGAGAGAAAAGAGAATTTTTAAATTTTTTGTATAGATTATTGACTTTTTAATTTTTTTAATGACTTTTTAATTTTTTAACTAAAGGAGTCATTTTCCCAGCGAGGCCTTAATACGTGTAAAACCAAGTAATTCAAATTTTTAATATTTAATAAAATGATAGTATGACCTCAAATTTTTATATTAAATAATAAATACTTATTTAAGAGTGTTTTAGGAAATTGGTAAAAAATTAATTTTTAAATTTTTTAGTCTATTTTATCTTTTTTTGAATAAAAAAATGAGAATTGATGTGATTCAAAATGGATAAAAAGTTAAAAGTCGACTTTTTATTTTCTTCTCAAAAATTCCTTAATTTAATTTAAAATATTTTATTTGAGGATTATAATGCACAAAAATTACTAGAAAAAAAAAATTGTATAAAAGACACGGTTTTAGGTGATGATAAAGTTAGAGGTGACGTGTGAATGAGATAAGAAACGGGTTGATGAGGTGGAGTGAAGTGGCAAGAGAGAGGAGAGAAAGTCAGATAGGTAAATGGGTTAAAACGCAAACGCAAACGCAAACGTGTCGCCACATACCTTTTGGAGAACAGAACATATCCGAAGTTATTGGGAGAATGCGGGGTGGGTGGGAAAAAGGCTCTGGTGAGTGTTGTGGGCGTGGATGTAGGTAGGGAAGTGGCCATTGGTATACGTGAAGCCTCCCCCAAGCCCCACCCAGCTTTGCTTTTAGGGCCGTTTGTTTTGAGAGATAGAATGGAAGGAATTAATATTGAAGAGATTAATAGTGAAGGAATTGTTAGTGAGGGAATTGATAGTGAGGAATTGTTAAATTATTTTTATATAAAATAATTAAAAAAATATAAAAATATAAAAAATTAAACATTATATTTTAAAAAAAATTCATAATATGTAAAAAATAAAAAAATTTCTAATCCCCTCACTATTTTCTAATATCATCTCTACCTCTTCCTTAGCAATCCCCCTTTCAAGGGTATTAGTAATACCAAGGGACTAATAGTCCCAAGGCCATCTCTGCAAACAAACAAGGGCATTAGTAATACCTTGGTATTACTAGTCCTAATACCCTCCTTATAGCCTAAAACAAACGGGGCCTTAGGTTCTTCTTCTATTTGCATTTTTATTTTCTTTTTTTTATTTGTTATTTATAATTTTTCATTTTAATTCTATTAAAATCTCATTTGAGAATAAATTATTTTAATAATTTTTTAATTTTTTAAGAAAAGATATTCAAAAAAAAAAGATAATGATGTAACAATTTATAATAATTTTTTAATTTTTTAATTTAAAACATATAATTACCAAACGAGACCTAAGATATATATATAAAAAAAAAATTATCCAAACGCATCATTCTCAACACCCCTCCACGGTCCACCACTCCCCTTCCTTTTTCTTTCTCCCTCCGTCTCCCACTCGAGAAATTATTCAATAATTTTAAAATATTACGTAACCATCCTCCAAGTCAATTATTAATTATTTAGCCTTATATTATTCTCTCATCCTCAACATAAATCGTGGGTCTCTATCCTTCCTTACCAATCAAAATTTTATAAAATATCACGTGTCTATATTTCATAATACTGAATAATCACTCCACTCACCGACACATTTTTTATCAAAAAATTACTATAAACAACAATCAAACAATTAAAAACATATAATTACCAATTGTTAAACATATTGAGAATAATTCTGAAATATTGCATACAACATTTAGGCACTTAAGAGTTATTTGAGTGTCAACAGGTCAGTTAGTCTAATAGTTCATGTAATTATTCTTTGGAATAGTAAGTGTGTGAGTGAATTTCCAACCACACTGCCAACTCAGTATTCAGCTGGAGAGCACTGGCAGAATAGATGACACCTGATTGACTTGCAACAGAAAGAAAAGATTCCGACGGTGGTTCGTCCACCCGGGGCACTTCGACGATCAAGTCGGTTATCTCTCAAAGATAAATCAAGTCCTTAACTCACTGTTTAGAATATAAATTGCGTACCTTAGACCACAGGGTGCCTTTCTTTTATAGCCAATACAATCTTAGTCCCAATAGAAGCCTTACTTTAATGGATTTCAGTTCAGTGCTTATCTTAGACTCTCCAATAGATAAAGATAAACTCCCTAAGAGCTTTATCCTTATCCAAGCTGAAGTCCTTCCTCATTCTAGGATTCTTATCCCTTATCCGCTTATCCCGGATTCTGATATCTTCGAAGATAACCTCGGCCTAGCCGAGATTACCTCGGCGTCACGACCAAGACACGTGCCACCTCGGCTAACACGTCAGCGTTACCTTGGCCACATGTTGGTACTCAGAAAATATATCCCCACATGTCGAGTCACTGTGATTCTTTTGTTATAATTTAAATCTCATAACATCTTATTATATGGCTAAAAAAAATGTGAATGTTTTATTGATATTGATGTGAATTTATGTTATTTGAAAAAATATTGTAAATTTAACCTTTGTTTTCGTTTGTTGAACAAATTAAATTTGATCTACACTTATTGATCAAGCATTTTAAGATTATTTAAACAACTAAAATTGAATATAATTAATATGAGCAATTTTGATACATTGAATGGTCAATAAGTTAATGAAATTTTATTTAACCTACCAAATAAGGCCAAGTTTGAGAAGACTAAGTGCACTTTTTGTCTTTTTGGACTAAAAAATTGAGGTTGAAAATATGGATGTTTGGGTTAACTTTTTGACTTTTTATTGAAAAATGTATAATTAATATGAGCAATTTTGATACATTGAATGGTCAATAAGTTAACGAAATTTTATTTAACCTACCAAATAAATTGGGATAAATTACATTTACCTCCTCTGAGATTTCTAACAAATGCAGGGACCTCTACTATGGTTTTAATAATTACAGTAACCTCCTCTACTTTATCTGACAATGTCAAGATTCTCCCATTCTGTTTATTTTGCACAAACGATGTTAGTAGCCTATACAAAATGACTATATTACCCTTACTTTTGCTTACGAAAAGGCGAAAATGCACTTGGAAGAAAAGTCAATCTAATAAGAGCTTTCACTCCTCATCAAATTTGCCAAAGAAGTCAAATCCTTCAAGTTCGACTGTGCCGATCTCACCAAGCAAACCGACCTCCTCTCCCTCAAGCTCCGATCCACTATTTGCCTCACCACCATGACCGTGACCACTGCCTAGTCGTTTCTCCATGAGCGCTGCATAATCGCCGACATCACCAAAACCTTGGAATGAGCCCTAACCTTATTCCACAAGTGCAAACGGAGTGGCGTTCTTCGGCAAGTGTTTGCCATCACCACCCAGTGCCGACTTCCACAAGGTCTCCGGCTTCCTGCAATCATCCATCACTGACATCAGCTGGCTTCTCTCCATCACCAGCAACAACCCATCATGGCCATGTTCTGGTCCTCCATTGCCTCCTTCCAAATAGGATGCCTCCTCTGTGACCGCCTTGACGCCGCTAACAACCTGGCCTCCCTCACTCGCGATAATGATCGTAACAAGAAGATGATGGTTAAAGAAGGTAGAGTTGTACCCTTGCTGAAGGTTGTTGAAAGAAGGGGCTTCCTTTGATGCTCAAATGGCCGCCTACATTGTTTTTTTCTACTTGGTTAATGATTAGGACAGGGTCCGATGCATCGCCCGTGAGCTGGCTATATCCTTAATTGTTAAGGGTTACATTTAAAATGTTTCCAATAAGAACAGAGATATATATAATTGCAATATACAAAGGGTATTATGTAAGGTTTTTTAGGGATAGTGGATTCTGAAACTGAAAACAGAGCAGTGTGAAGATTAAGGAAAATTGTAGATTTTCCAAGAAAATTTTAAAAAGGAAAAATTGAAAAGGAAATGAAAATGAAAATCTACATAGAAATGAAAGGAGAAGATTGTGTATATATTGATATACAGTGAGATAGAGAAAACAACTCTTTGTCTCTTTGCCTCTCTCTTTCTCTTTTTCTCTCTCTCTTTGCCTTTCTCTCTCGCTAG